TTCCTGAGGAAAGTGACCCTTAAGCCATCCTTAAAGGATAAACAGGAGTTACCTCTATTTTAAACTCCAGTTCAAGCTAGAGTTCTCTGGTCATTAAGAAAAAACATTCATTCTCATTTGTTTTTAAAAAAATCTTACTGCTGATTTGGACTCATTTTCAATTCTGATACCTTGACCATAGGTCCACAATTTCTATAGCAGTTTTTGGTAATCTTCGATTACCAAAATTATTTCTCCATTTTCTTTCTCTGCAGTATTTCCCAAATTTGCCTGATCATAAGAATCACCTACAGCTCATGATAAGTATGCAGGTCCCCAAACTGTCCCCTGCAGGTTCTGATGCATTAAGTCTGGACTTTTTTTAATCAGTTGTCCCAGGTAATACTCATTATTAGACATGTTCAGGAATTATTTTTCTACTATCCAAAGTTGTTGTTATTATTAGCATTTATTTTTCAATAAAGAGTTTTCTGTTATCACAATGTTTTCCAGGATTAGTAAATAAGAAAAGAAAGAAACATAAAATTTCCCATTAAGAAAAAAAGCTGTTTTCTTTTAGATGAATTCTATAGATAAGCACACATAAGCCATATACATGTAAATTATAGTTTTAAAAAAATTTCAGTGTGGGTTAATTTCTATTTATACAAGTTATCTTGTATGAATTCTGTTGTTTTACTTTCATTGTAATTCACTCATGTGTTACCCAGTTTGAAATAGTCAATTCTACTCACCATGTGTAATTGTAATTAGAGAAATACAATTTAGATTTCGCTTTCAGGGATTTGGGTAGGAGGGTATGGAGGGTATGGTGGATAGATGCTATATCAAATTGAGAAACAATAGAGACAAAAAGCGTTTAATGAAACATGGGCATAAGGGGATTAGCTACTGTTTGTATGGGATGTTTAACAGTTTGATGAAGGAAGTATAATATTGCTGTGCTGTCAGGGATTTGCTCCACTTGAATTCCAAACAAGTGTGGTAAGAGCATGAATCTTGTGGCAATCCACAACTGTTCTGGATTAATAAGTAAAGTAAGCACTGACTTTATTATCAAGCATGTTGGAGGGAGGCACAGATATCGGCTGTTAGGGACTCAATACCTAGAGTCTGTTTATTGAACAAGAGTGTAAGCAAAGACTCAGACATTTTGTAATTAGAAATAAGAACACTGGAGAAGGAAGGGGACATCCTTTTTCAGAGCAACAGAATATAATATGGCTCCCAAAAGAGGAACAATCATGTCTAATTCAGAACTATTCCATTTGTCACACTACTTAAGTATTATCACATTTACCTAAGATAGGTAGAACTGGAAACGCACTTTAAAATGGACAGTATACTCTTTAGTAGTGGTTTGGTTTTTTTTTTTTTTTTGTATAAGTATATATGTCATAAATTTATAGGGTTCTGTTTATTGAGGGCAGGTGCAGTCACTGTGAATTAATATTTTTTGTCATCTTCATAAGTTTTAGTTCTTAGTACCCATCTACATATTATTTTATGTAGGTATGTAAAGTAAGTAGACTCTTTCTCACTATTTTTTAAAGTATATACAAGGGTACTTGGAGCATTATGAATTGATCAAGAATATTGTGTGTGGGTGTATTACATGTTTGTGTAGAAATTTTGTGCTTGTATGTCTATAGCTAACAGTGACTCTGGGGCAGTTCTAGTGGCTCTCTCCCCTGGTATATCCATAAGGTAATTCATTACCTTCCTGAATTAATCAACAAACACTTCAGGGCCTGTTACTTAGCCTGATGGGCTCCAACACCTGATTCAGTACACTGACGGACAGTGTCCATTTCTGGGGGGCAGAATCAAATTAGCAAAGACAATTGAAACTGATAAATAAAAACAGAATTTCATCCATTAGTTTAAAATGGAGAATTATACATTATAGAGGAACTGAAATATTAAAATATATACAATTGGAGGGTCCTCTCCTGGTTATCAGGTTAAGTGGGAAGTATTCACCAACTGAAAGATTTATAAAATTGTGCTGCGAATTACTGTTCTAGTGAGTACAAGTTCTTATGATGGACATATTCTTTTCCTATAGTAGGATTTATATAGGAAAGCAAACTATAATCAGGAAGTTGCTGGTTGAGTTTAGAATCAAAAAGGGAATTAGAAGAATTGAATTCTTAGTGGTCCCAGGCTCAGATAGCCTGATGGGCCCACCTCTCAAATGCACCTGAACCTCAGCGTCTAATAAAATCTCTGCATCCAACCCACATCCGAGGTGTGTGGCCTGTGACACTGGAAATACTCATTTGGAAAAGGCCAAGGTTTTCTCTCTCTTATGCAGTGCTAACATTGTCTTTGAAGCTCTTTGTATTAAATTTCCAAGGTTGACACTTTTTTCTTTAGCAGTGAAAAATACTTTGGTAACAGTAGAACATTTCAGGCCAGAGAGTTACTCTGTTTAAGGAACATACTTATCTTTGCTGTGATTTATTCTAGTTTAACTCTGAGAGGTACTTCATTGTAACCACCTCTCACCACAATACTGGTAAAAGTTATTGGAATACCTTGATATTATGTTGACATATAGGAAGAAAATTTAGAAGCACATTAAATAAAATCCTGCTTATATTTTCATTTTCAACTCATTCAAATATATTTGAATATATTTAAAAGCCATATGTATATTTCTAATGCACATCTACCTTTTTGAAGTAAACAGCAAACTCATTCAGCATTCTCAGAAAATGATACTTCTGATCGAGGCCCGGAGTATTACTGAAGCTCACAATGGCTATCTTTCAAATCCACTATAATTAAAATTCTTGTCTTTCTTGCAGCTAATATCTACTTTGATTCCATCAAGGGTTTCTCAATCTCATTCTGGCCTAAAAAGAGTGTCATCTGCCAAATTACTAGTATGCCTAACTGCACCTGGACCTTTCTTAATTTTAATACAAACTTTATCTAAACATTTAATTTTGGGATGGAGACTTCATAGGAAACAGACCACTACTCCTCACTCTGTTCTGCAAAGCAAACATCACTAGCTAATGACAGTAATCTTTCCTTGGGTAAGACTTGGGCTGAGTCTAGAAGTGGGCTTCTTAAACCACAAATCTCTAGGGAACGACAGTTGTTTCCAAAAATCATAGTTCACATGCCAGATGAAGTTAATTTGGATTCCTTGCATGTCTTACGGTGTCTAACAAGACCTGTCATTTATTTTGAATACCAGCATTTATCTGAAAGTAACTGTCTACTGAAAGTTTTCTGAATCAGAAAAGAACAAGTTCGTGAAGTTTTTTCTCCCCTTTATTCCCTGTGGATCTCCTCAGCAAGACAGACAAAATTGCCAAACGTTATTGATAAAGGCCTGAAAAGTAGCAAGGTTTACTAAACGTTAAAAGAGTTTGTTCAGTTAGTTTAGCCCAAATCAGTATCCAAGAATAACATAAGCTTTACCACAAGATCTTTTTTCAATGAAGAAAATACTTTGGTGTTTAATTAGTAAAAAATATAATAGTTATTGTAAATCTACTGAACATGAATGATCTTACTTTGAATTTCTTCCATGGTAAATAAAACTAATTTGGTTTAGAAAGTTTTGAAATTACAATACCACCAGGAATTTCTTAAGTGCCAAAGCAACTATTGGTTAAAAAAAATCAAATAGATGATTACTTGTTCACAGTTGCTCTATGATGAAAGGAAATATAAAACATCAGAATTTTATAGGTTATAGATTAAAGAATCTTAAAATTATTGATGAAAATGTTACCATATTAAGAATATTTTAACTGCATTTTCAGTTCATCATTAGGCATTAGTTTAATTCTTTTGCCTGTGTATTAGTGGCTGAATTGATAAAAAAAAGAGAACAAAACCATATGAGATGATTCCAAAGATACTTCCATTTGTTAAGAATAGAAAAGTTAGAAGAACCAGATTATTTCTGATATATAACTCAGAATTATTTATATTTTTTTGGGGTATGAAGAAGTTTATTAACTTCAAACTATGGTGAGTTTTGGATAGACATCTTGATTTTGCCTAAAGATGAGTTACTCTTACTTCTATCTCATTTTCTAGGAGCTGAGAAATAGATAGCTATTGAATACCAGTAGATAATGAAAAATATCTGAAATTTTACTTGCAAGACCTGTAAAATTAATGTCAAGAGAGGGGTCTTTCAAATTTTATTCTCTTTATCCCTCTCTTATCTAACTTTTATGCTGATAGAATTTTTTTCACATTTGGAAAATTACATTTTTTTTTCATCTTGAATATTGCTAACATCAGGGACAAATTTACTATAAATAAATACAGCTTTACTTTTTATGTCAGTGACCTTCAGAAGGGAAATAAAAATCCCTTCTTTTCCTTATACACCTTACTTCAGTTAGTTCGTTTTCTATGCAACTTTGTAACACTGGCCTCGAGCAGAAATACGTACAAATGGTTCATTTGGGAGCCGGCACCCTAGTATTAAGAAGTAAAGGAGGAAGAACAGTAGCCCAATAAAACAGGCTGCTCTGCCCTGGCCTGAGATGCAGCAAGATAAGATCTAATGTGAATATTCCAACAGTGACCCTATTTGCTTATCTAATTCCTCTCCCATTTTGCTTCTACTTTTATTTTAAATAAGAAAAAAATAGAATAGTCACCTAAATGGAAAACTGGTCCCACTGGGAATTGGAGAGTTTTATAGGTGAAAAATCTTACTCTGCATAAAAGCAAGAATCTCTAAATTTTGATCACTTTCCAACACAGAGGAGGGTTTGCTAGAGCACTTCCTTGACTCTTCCGTAAGTTCCTCATGTCATTACTACTTGTAGAATTAGTTTGCCCCCATTACTAGATGTACTTCCATTTAGTTTTTTTTTTTTTTTCCATTTAGTTTTTAACTACCATTTTAGAACTGAAACTTCATCTTGATTGGCTGATAACTACCAAAACCCTGGCCTCTTTGTCATTTGCCCTGTCATTTTTCATTATTTATTTGGAGAATAACTCAAAGTACTTACTGGGTTGAGGACCACTGTGAAGAAAAGTTCACCTCCTTGGATACTCTTGTCCAGCTCTTTAGGACCTCCTGGATATTCTTTATAGAAAATTGTGTGAGTGAAAAGCCCACAGGTTTGTCTTGGAAGAACCTGAAGGAAGAATGAACAGGTAAGGAAAAATTTCCTTTCAACCAATTAATATGTTGAAACTTAGCTTTTTCCCTCATGGAAAATAATGTACAAGCTGGTGTCATTATTCAACTCTTAACTAACACCCCAAAGTTCTTCACAATGTGGGAAAGTGGGGATGACATCACTACAGCAGGAATACTGAAGAGAGTGGAAGAAATATGTTAAAACTAAGATAGACTTTGAATTATTTTAGCCACTTATCTATTTTAAATCTCCAAGTCATTACTTCTGTTATGAAGCCTAGTATGTTCCAGCATCTTAAGAAATAAAACAAACAAACAAAAAGTAAAAATTAGACTTTAAAAATACTGGACTTGCCTGTGCTACATTGTAATTCTAGTAGGCAAAAGTTTTAAGGATAATACTTCTATCAAATTCTACACATGCATTAGAAAATGAAGTCAATTATTAACTTAATGTGATTCTTGGGAAATGACATGTTAAATTAGAACAAATATTTGAGACACAAATCATAGTTCCTGTTCCACTCTGAAAGGACTACTGTAGGTTGTAGTAATTGCCCCGAATTCTAAGTCTGAAGCCTGCCAGTTCCAAAAGTAAGAAAGAGATGATGCATTTGGTTAGTAATTTTTATAAAGTTTCAGAAACAAAATGATAAAAAGGTCACTCAGTAAAAAGTCTTCTTTTCATCCTTTGTATATAAAAGCCATTATTTACTTCAGTTATACATATTTGTGATAAGGATTTTTTTTCAAATTCTTACAGCTTTCCTGGTGAAATATCAGTACAATTATAAAAGAAGGGGTGAAAAAAAGCTGTGCAAGATGGCACAAACTTTAGCTAAATTTTATATAATGACTTCTTTATGACCTGCATTTGTCATTACACCCTTGAAGTAGCAGAAAATGAATTAGTATACTTTGGAGGGATCCAAGTTTTATAGAATCTTACACAGGCAGGTCTTCTGTTTATTGTCCTAAGCAAATGGATCGTCATTTTTTTTTTGTCTTGATTCTTAAAGCACAATTGATTCAGTTAAGTGCTTTCAAAATATTACCTGTACAGGAATCCCCATGCTTTGCAATCTCCTAGAAATATACTGAATATGTATTTAATACATTTCAATCTAGTCCTTGGAAAGTTTTCTTAGAAAACATAATTCCCAGCTCAATCAATAAACTACATATTCAGTGTAAATCAAAACTGTATCTATCCTATTTATTTTGGCAAACTGGTGAAAGTTATATCCTTAGAAGCTATTTTATCTTGATGAAATCATTCCAAGAACTTCAGTTTAATTGCAGAGTATTAGCTCTGATGATGTTTATGTTTAAAAGCATTATGCATTCTCATAATGTTATGCACAAAATCAACAACAAAAAAGAACTAAGTGCAGAGGTATTCTAACTGAATCAAATATATCCCCTAACAATTCACGAACATGTAATTTCCTGGAAATTAAATTTTACATAGCAGTTATTTATTTAACAAATACTTATTCAAAATTCTTTGCAAGTCCAGGTGGGAGAACACAAAGATATAGCCTTTATATTCTTGAAGGATTTAAGGTATATTGGGATAAAGAGAAGTACCCCAAAGCTAAATAATGAAATGCCTACATGTAATTAAACGCCAGGTTAGTTTTACATTTTAACGTGCATGATTCTGAATCGCTTTTAGGATTCAGTTTGAATATCTTGCCTGAAAAACTATGGCAACATACAGAGCCAACTTTGGGATTTGATTGCCTAGCTGATTCTACGCAAAAGGGAGAGAGAAGTGAAAAGAAATTTGAATTTCATTTATTTCTCAAATTATTTGAGTTTGAACAGAGGGAAGAGGAAGTTTCAGGCTTTACCCTGCAACTCTGGGGAGGATCACACTTGCTGAGAGGATGAGAGTCACCATGAGCCCTAGGATGGTCAGTGGACCACCAAAGGAGGCTGAGGAGATCATCAGAGTGTAAGAGGGTCATATCGCATTGCCTTGCTCCCTAAATCCAATGCTACAGGACACTGAACATGTTCCTTGAAATGGCTCTCTTGTGTTAGAGAAGGAATAAGAGAGGTTTTAGGCATTCTGCTGTGAACTGCTCTCTAGAACTGTTTCTGGGAGTGTAATGCTATCAAATTCAAACTTTGAGATGTTGATGAGCCCCTGGAAACCTTATAGCTCCTGACAATAACTAGGAGATGGTTATGAAAGCCATAGTCATAGGAATCTCGGCCAGTGGACCTAAAGCCAATATCCTGTACATAAGGCTTGAATCTAGCTTTTATGTTCCTAATGGAGTTATACAAGAGGATGTGTTATAGGAATTCAGAGGAGAATAAGATCAGTGTAGGCCTGACCTAGGTATTGAGCTGCTATATATATACCAAGGTGCTTTACATTAAATTATATAAGATATGGAACTTGATACTGAGGAATAAAGGGAATAGGAATAGGTAGAGAGTGATCAGAAAGTGGTCTTTCAAGGTGGAAAGAATGACAAAGGCATAGACACAGTGATATTGCTGCAGACCTTTTTGTCTGGAGTGAGTCTGTGTTAGCTACGGGACAACAAGAGATGGAAAGGTAGACAGTTTAAATTGTTTTCAGGTCCCTGAAGAGCAAGTTAAGGCATATGGAAAACAACTGGAAAGAATCAGGTTAGGAAGGCAAGATGAGGCAGCATTTTAGGGTTAAAAGGTTGGCACTTTCCATGGTATGGACTGAAGTGAGTGGTGGATAGAAGCTGTAAATAAACGAAGTAGAAACCAGCACCATGGTTTACAAATGAAAGTCAAGGTAGTGAATTAGGCTGTGGGAAAGGAAGTGAAATTTAAAAATATTATGAAGGAATTATTGACAGAATGTAGAGACTGATTGGAAATGGGGGGTCAGTGTGATGTTCAAATTGCAGAACTGAACTAGAGATAGCAGGACCAATAGCTAGTTTGAAGGGAAGATAATAAGTTTCATTTAAGGCCTTGTAAGTTTGATTTGTGAGCAGATCATCAAAACCCAGTTTCCCTCATTCATACAACAGGGTATGGGTGTGATCTAAGGAACGTTTGTTCCTCAGTTCCCTGCTCTTTTTTCTTTGCAGTCTCTCCCTAGGAGGGCATATTGGCTATTCTGGTCTCCACTTACAACTCTATTAGTATGACTTCAAGCCCTGTCCTCTCTAACTACACATCAACTTGGAACATTTCCCACTAGGAAATTCTCATACAAGGGTCCACAAAGCAAACAGAATTTCCACGGATTGCTGCCTAAGTGGAACCTCAGGGACAGTTCCCTCAAAACAGGAAATCTGTTAGAGCCTCTAATACCTGCCAGATTCATGCATTTATAATACAGGTAAAATATGTTTTCAGGAGAAACAAAGATGAACATATGTCATGGGACATATCCAAGCAAGTTTTCTGGTACTACAGAGAGAAACAGAAACAAAAGAGAACACCATTGAATAAAGTCCTTGGAGACTTAAGTTTATTATTCTAAGACTGCATATGATTTAAACATGACAGGAGAGTACTGGCATACTTTTAAATTATAATATAACCCAAGTCAAAAGACTGGAAGCTTGAGGCACAGTGAGTTCATTTTCAGTAAGGAGGAATGGCAGGTGGGATAAAATGTGGCCATTATGTCCCCATATAGCATTTACAACAGTTTTTATTGAGGGAAAAGTTAAGGTGGAAGTTGATCCAAGTTCATTATCCTATCTGTAGTAATACAAATGTCATTATCCAATATGTAATTTTTGCCGACATAGGAAAACTGTCTGAAAAGAAGTCAGTTACACCTAATTCTAGAAGGCAGACATCTGCTCAAACACAGTTTGACAGTGTTATGGTGCCTGACCACATAGTGTTTCTGTGTGGTGTTCCTTCCCAGTGTGTGTCTAAATCAGGAGGCCTACTCCTAACTTCACCAGTGCTCTTTAGATTTTCTGATTTCGGAAAAAATTAGGATTTAATTACTTACTTTGAGAGGTCTCACAAAGTATTAGGTAATAATATATCTTGACCATATACATTTGTCACCAGTGTAAAAACACAAAACAAAATAGAGAAGCTTTGGAGAGAATTTGACAATGGATAGAAATGACTTCATTAACATCATCTCTCATTTGTACTCTATATTATGATCTGTTAATGATTATGCAGGACATGTGGCTTTTTCTTGTAAATAGTTTTTTTTTAGTCTGATATGATAAAGAGGACACAGCCTGGCAAGAGTGACATGGTTTTTATATAGAGAGAGATGGTGTCAGTTTTACATGCTAAATAACTTTTTGAAGAAATGATGGCTTCTGTAAATTATCTGCAAGTTAGATGTAATGTTTCCTTAGTATTTTAACGTCAGTGCCTGCTTGATAGCAACAGTGTCAGTTTTATTTGAAGAATTGAAAAGAAGTGACTTTGATGAAAACGTCCTTTGCTTGGGTATGAAAAATATGTTTCCTGCTGCGTGGAGCTTTTCCTTCTGTTACGCTTTTAATATTTAGTTCTTCTCTTTTGTTCTTTCTTCAAATGAGGAATTAAGTCTGGCAGAATGAGGTCTACCCTATGCATACCAGAGGAAGCTCACCATGATGTTTTTGTGGATGAAGCCCCTCCGGTATCTAGCTGGTTTCAGGTGTGGGTATTCTTCAGTGCTGGTGATTCTAATATTCCAAACCTTCTTCCAGGCCTCGTACAGCTGAATGTGTACAGGGTAGACGCCCGAATGGTGAGGGGCCACCGCGTAGCCCATGTCAGTAGGAATGCCATGCTCCTAAGGCCAAGCAAATGTTAGTTAGCATGTGGGAAGATTTATCTGGATCCTATTTTTATCCCAGGATTTTCAAATGTACTATAAATACGTTTGTTCCACTCCATCATTACTTAATTGTATGGCAAAATTTAAAGTGATAAACATTAAGACTTCCAGACTTCATGAGGCCTGATGGCCACTCCACCAGTTTTGATGATGACACATGTGTGTTTAAGAGGTGATGGGACAGGACTAGCGCTTTTAATGAATAATGTCAAAGAGCCTGCATTCAGTGCCTCCTGTCACAGTCACCTGTGACTCACCTATCTTCACGATCTCAGTAAGTTAAACGACAAACACTCGCGACAGACAACACTCAGCACTCCCCACAAAATAAAACCAGCATTTCTTAAGGGGCAGAACACATTCTGCGTTCACTAGACTTGCTAACAGGATTTTATTTTGTCTATAGCCCAGTTTCTACCAAGTTTGCCACGTTTCTGTTGTTCCCTCAGCAAGAGGGCCGGTAATAGACAACGTTCCCTGCCTCGTTAGAAGCACACACTTTTGATTAGAAAATGTGGTAAAATTTTATAGAGCAATTTTCTTTGAAGCCAAAGCCCTGGTTATAGTGAAAGGAGAAGGTACTGAATGAGCCAAACAATCTGGAAATTTAGTTGATTTGAAATCCAGCTTTAGTATATAAAATGAGTCCAGTTTTAAAAAGTCATTTCAAAATTACTCTCTCTGTCTCTCTCTCACTACTTCCTCTATTCACTTGGTCCTGACCAAGTCTGGAAATTCTGAAAATAAATCTGCGTGACAACTAGACTGTTTTGGAGGGGACTTGGGAAAACTTTGTGTAATTGTGATTATTCTTCTTCATTTGAGATGGTCCATTATTCCTGATAAAGTCTCTTTAGCATAAAAGATGAGATGTCTTTTATTAAAAGAACACTCATGGTGTCAGTAGTAGACATGTATTTTTTCTCCTGAATAATATTTTACTTTTCTATCTGTATTTTTCAACTGCTTTGTATTCTTCAAAAGTTCTACCCAAATAGACTTCCTCTGACTTGGTCATAGCTTGTCTTCATGCCAAAGTGCAATTTCACATACAAAGAACCATAGTATTAAGCTGCTAAACGCACTGAATTGTAGAAATATGGATATGGAAGAAGTGGAAAAGGCATGGCTAGCTTTGTTTTTCAACCTAAATAACAGGAGGTGAAGGAAGTGTATGAGCACTTGAACGCAGAAGGAACAAAGGTTGCCAATCATTTGTCATTACCTAAGTATCTGTCAGACTCCTTCAATACGGCATAAAAGGCTCACAACCAACCTAACATAGCCAATCTCCTGTCAGCATTCATCCTCCCCACCCCAGTTTCTGATGATTTCTTTTATGTCTTTGCTGTACACTGTACATATTGTCCACCCAACTGGAATGCCCCTTTCCTCTTATCTTGTAAACTGTTCATCATTCAAAACTCATCTCAGACAGTTGTAGTTGAGGATGCTGGAAAGGGGAGATGCCACACTGTTGCTATGAGGAAGAGAATGGGTGGAGTAGATTATACTTGTGTTCCTCAAGGGTGAGAGGGAAGCTTCATGTTCTTCATTTTATTATCATCTTTGTTAGAAATTACCATAACTAGGCAATTATTGTTATCATTTAGAATTTCACTACAAAGTGAATTGAAATATCTCATTGCTTTCTTTCCCCCCTGTTTTTAAAAACTAAGGCAATTTTTTTCAGCTAAAGATTACTTACCAGCACATACTTTGTGTTAGAAAAGGTCGGTGAAGTATTCATCTAAAGTGGTTTAAGAATAGGGGTGCAGTGATAATGGAACAGTTGAAAGAAAATGAATTTCAATCACAGAAATTTAAAGAAAAATTGTGAATAATTATGGGTTATCAGTTTTTAAAAGGGTATAGGAAGAAGCAAGAATGAAATTCACAATGACAGGAACTACATTATAAAATTCAAATACCTCCAAATTTGTGAGAAATTATGCTGACAGAAAGCTCAAGGTAGTTTTAAATACCTGTAAGTGGTCAGCTATCTCTTCAGAACACTATGTAAGAAAAGGACGGTCCAGCACAGCAGAGACATTTCCCTTATTTTGGAATATTCCCAAATATTTGCAAACCATCATATACACAATTTGTGTTTTTCTTTTTAGCTTTTAACACTAAAGAAATACTGAGGTTTTTCAGTCTCATCTTTTATTTGTGTGCTGGTGCATTGTGGCACAGTGGCGGAAAACTCCCCTCCTGGAGTCAAACACAACTGGCTGTTTCACTCTTGCATTTACAACCTGTGTGGCCTTTGGAGAATGATTTATGACCCCTAAGCCTCATAAGAGGTTAAGAGGAAATTAAATAATGTAATACACGGAAAGCATTTAGTGCAGTTCCTGAAACATGATACACATTCAATGAATGTTGTTTATTATTGTCGTCATTACTGGCCTGCCTCCATTTTAAAATAAGCTTTCGTCCTACTTAGCTCAACTCTAATGTGGAAATTATGAAAATACTGGGCCACCCTTTTTTTCAGTAAAAGAAAAGGGTAGATTTGGGGATTCTCCCTTGTGAGGCTTCTGTGACTTCTATCCCACTATCCCTTCTTGGGCCTGCTTTCCTCCTGATCTAAATACCCGCAACCATGTGCCTCCAGCTTGTGAATCACTGAACATTAGCTAGTAGGTGGTCTCTTTTAAATGAGATGAAGGCAACATAAATCGGCCCCCAAATTTTCATTCAATACCAGGGAGAACACCTGAAATCTTACTGGGTAGAAAAGTTGGGGCTAAGATTGCAGGTCTGTATGTTCTGGGATGCAGACTATTATGTTTCAGAAGATTTAGTCCCAATGCTAACTTCTTTTTTTTTAATTTTTAAATTATTTTTTAATTTATTTATTTAGTTTTGGCTACATTGGGTCTTCGTTGCTGCACGTGGGCTTTCTCTAGCTGCGGTGAGTGGGGGCTACTCTTCGTTGTGGCGTGCAGGCCTCTCATTGCGGCAGCTTCTCTTGTTGTGGAGCACAGGCTCTAGGTGCGTGGACTTCAGTAGTTGTGGCATGTGGGCTCAGTAGTTGTGGCTCGCGGGCTCTAGAGCGCAGGCTCAGTAGTTGTGGCACACAGGCTTAGTTGCTCTGCGGCATGTGGGATCTTCCTGGACCAGGTATTGAACCTGCGTCCCCACATTGGCAGGCGGATTCTTAACCACTGCGCCACTCAGGGAAGCCCTGTAATGCTAAATTTTTGACTGATTATTCTCTTCCAGATTTTTAAATTTGAAATTAAGTACATTATTATTTTGGAATTGGGGGCAAAAAGTTTAAAAGAGTAGATATTTTAGCTTAAAAAGTTAATTCTCCTTATTCTTTTTATGAATCCTTGATTGAAACTAGCATCTTAGATCTAGGAACTCTGTAACCTATGTAAAAACTTCCCTAAAAAAGGAAGTGGACCAAAAAGACTAGGGAATATGGCTATTTACTATAAAATGTATGTTAAATACTTAGAACACAAGTGGGATTAATTATTCTCACAATTGAACTCTTCATCTCCACCTCTCAGCTCTACAAGAAATGCTCTTTCCCCAGGGTTCCTCCATGCCACTAAATGACGTATTATCAACCAACTAGTTGCCATATCAAAAAGACAGAGGCTATTCTTGACACCTGTTTCCTCATTCTCTCCTAAATCTAGTTCATTATCATGTCCTATCAGTATACCTCTAGTATAAATCTTAAATCCATCCACTTTTCTCCAGTTCTATCATCATCATCACCATCACCCTAATCCAATCTACCATTTTATCCCATGGCCTTCAAGCATAGGCTCCTAACCATTCTACCCATTTCCTCTCTTGCCTGCTTCCAGTCCATTCTCTACATAGCAGCCAGAGTAATACTTAAAAGACCCGAATATGACCATGTGACTTTCTACTCAAAATCCTTCCATGGTTTCCCCTTGCACTTAAGATAAAATACAAAATTCTTAGGGTGGTCATGAGCCTTGCATGGTATGACCGTGCTTCTCTCTCTTGCCTCATTTTGCACTACCCTCCACCTTTCATTGTATTTTAGTTACATTAATCTTTTCCCAAAACTCACCAAGCGATTTCCTACCTCAGCATCTTCCCATATGTGGTTGACCCAGACTGGAATTTCCCTACTCCAATTCTTCACTTAGATAAATTTGGCACCTCTTTTAGGTACTTTATTCTGTGATACCTTCAGAGAAGCCTCCACTGACAAGTCTCAGTGTAAATGAAGTCCACGTTAAGACTTCTCTTAGCAGCATTCGTTTTTCATGGTACAGCACAGTTTGTAAGTGAATATTGCTTCATATAATTGTTTTTTAATGTCTCTCTTCCTCATTAAACAATAAACTCCGTGAGTTCTGGGTTCTGTCTTATTCACTGCTATATGGCCAGTGCCTTGCCAACAATAAGCAGTCAACAAATATTAGTGAACAACTGTGTGAACTGATTCTGACTACCTTCCTCTCATTCTGATGTTCACTTTCTCAATTATCTCAAACTGTCAGTTCATCTGCAGAATGGACATATGGTAACTCACAGAGAAATTTAACATCTAGATAAGTAATACTTGAAAACACTTTTTGAGACTGTAGTTAAAAATGATTCAAGTGAAAAACAGACACTTATTATTATGAATTTATATTTAAATTATACTGTATAGAATTAAAAATTGCAGGATTTTCCTAAATTGTGTATTCAGACGTTACCACATGGAGAATGTGAAGATGACACAATTTTATCAAGCAAAGAGTGATATTTGATATTCAATAATGATATTCAAAATTTCTTAGAAAAACTTCCCCAAAACTAAAAAAAAAAAATTGGCATTTAGGTATTTGAGAAACACAGTAACTTCATTCCTGAAGAAATCATTGTTTTTTACTATCCTTGATAATATTTCTTTATTTAAATTCTTGCTAATTATCAAGAATGATACTTTACTTTAATATTTTTCTCTA